CACGCACACGCACACGCGCGGGCACGGCCGGGCTCTCCTGGCCCCTGGGCTCCTGCCCAGAGCTCGGCGGCAAGCGTCACCTGCCCCCCCGCGGGTGTCATTCCCGTGTGGCAGCCCCCGAGAAGCCAGGCCAGGCCCCGGCTCTGGGCACAGCGGCTGGGGGACGCTTCCACCCCCAGGGTTTCGGGGCCGGCTGGGCCGCTTGCTGGGCACCCGTCTCTGGCCGCATCCACGGCCCTGCGCGTATTGAGCGAGCAATTAGCAAAGGGGAATATTTACCCTGGTAGGGTCTGACCCTCCTCTCTGAACCCTCTTTCCCAGGCTTGGCTGGTTGCAGCTAGACATGCCCGAGGCGCTGGGGGTAGCGTGGCAGGAAAGCTGCTTCCCAGTGTAACCCAGGACTTGCTGTTTCGCTGGCTGCTCCTGTGCAATTTGTAGGGAGCAGCAATGAGTTCGAATTCCTCCATCCCGCTCCTGGAGACGCGCCTTAGCCTGACGGAGGTCCCAGGAGGGGAGAACCAGTCCCAGCCGGGCATCTGGAATGGGAGCCAGGAGCTGGACTGGGAGGAGCTGGAGAAGATGCTCTTCCTCTTCGTGAAGGAGCCCGTCACCATCAGCCTCACCATCATGTACTTGCTCTCGTTCGTGGTGGGATTCGTTGGGAACGTCATGTCCATCAAGGTGCTCACCAGGAAGCGCAGCAGCAGGGTGTCCAGCCTGAGTGCCACCAGGAGCCTGCTGATCAACTTGGCCATCTGCGACCTGATGGTGGTGTGTGTCTGCATGCCCATCACCGCCGGGAACTTGATATACAAGGCCTGGGTGTACGGAGACTTCCTGTGCAGGGCCGTGCCCTTCATCCAGGCGGTGTCTGTCTCGGCCAGCGTGCTCAGCCTCACCGTCATCAGCGTGAACAGGTACTACAGCGTGCACAACCCTCTGAATGCCAGGTCATTCTTCACCCAGAGGAAGATCCTCAGCACCATCCTGGTGGTGTGGGTCCTGTCCTCCGGGATCTGCATGCCTCTCATATTCATGAACAAAAGGGACGAGATCGGGGTGGTGGAGGGACTGCCGCTGGTGGTCCCTATCTGCAGGGAGATATGGCCCCAGGAGAGACTCAAGCAAGCCTATAACTTCCTGCTCTTCTGTGCCCTCTATTGCCTGCCCGTGCTGTTCAACATGGTCATCTGCTTTCTGACCGTGCGCCGGCTGTGGAGCTGCGCCGGCCCGCTGAAGGAGTGCAATGCCCTGAACCGATCCCTGCCAGCCTCCAGGCTGAAGATCCGCAAGAAGGTTGCCCAGATGGTCGTGGCCTTGGTCCTGCTGTTCGCCATCTCCTGGCTGCCCGTCTACATGATGGACATCTGGATCGATTTCAACATCCCCAAGTCACTGCAGGACGTGACTCCGTCTCCCTGGGTCTTGCAGCTCAGACCTTTTGCTCAGTGGCTCGGGCTTACCAACTCCAGCCTCAACCCCATATGCTATTGCTTTGTCGGGAATCTCTACAGGTCAGCAAAGGAAATGAAAAGCAAATACCACCAAAGGATGATCTCTCTCTTTAACTTCTCCCTCTCTGAAGGGACCTCACCTTCTTCTGTCCCAGAGTTGCTCTCTTTCCAGAACTCCATGGGCTCATCAAGAAAAGAGCCAAGCCGCACCCTGGCAAGTGGGGGCAAGTGGGGGCAGAGGGGCTCTGGCCCTATGAGCAAGTGTGAAACCCCACTGGAGTCCTGCCAGCCTCCGTCTCTAAATGCTGTCCCTGGTGAGAAGACTTCCCTATAGCCCTCGTCAGGAAAAGCACCAATGAATGCATTCACCCTTCTTAAGAGGTGTAACAAACACATCTGATGACTCTTCGTGTGCTTTTCTGAATCCGATATTTTAAAGGTGGGGAAGAAATCAAGTGATCTCATCACTACCAGCACCATCCCAAATACAGAAAGGAAGGAAAATGCTGAGAAAAAGACATATTGAACTTCAGATGAACTTGCCAGGAAAAACAAGACAAATTATCTCTGCTAGGGACAACTGGACACAACTCGTTGCACAGCCCTCTCGCATGTTAAAAGCTTTCTGGTAACATGCCAGTCAGATGGTCTCCTCCTGCAGCTCCATCTCAGGACGCTGCAGCCAACGTGCAGGTCTGATACATTAGCCGTTGTGCAGTACTTTGACCACTTGCAGCTGCTCACCTGTGCTGATAAAGCCCAAATGGAACAAGCTCTCCTTTCTGCAAACAACATCCATTGTAGCCGCAAGCGCTAAAAGAAGCTGTAGGAACTAAGCGATAAAAACAGCGTTGGTGGAGAATCTCGCACGCTCCGCCGTTTGAGACTTCACAGCCTGATGGTAACACACTGGTGTCCCATGCAGATAAATTCTCCTAAGATGAATTGTGCCAGAAATACTGAAGTAATCACTGCAGTTCACACCTGGACAAGAGATAATGCAGCTTCAGAATCCCTCTGAC